GCTATAACAAAATAAGTGGAAGTCACTGGCAAACACAGTTGCATGGTTTGAGCTTTTAAAGTGCCCCCGAAAACAAAACCGTTTTCTCTCTCTGCACCTGAATTCTGATAGTTATGAAGCCTGGAGACAGCTGGTGGCAGAACGGCAGGAATCGTGGTTTGAGCTTTTAAAGTGCCCCCGAAAACAAAACCGTTTTCTCTCTCTGCACCTGAATTCTGATAGTTATGAAGCCTGGAGACAGCTGGTGGCAGAACGGCAGGAATCGTAAGGGGGCGGGGGAGCCGCAGGTGTAATAATCTGGTTAATGAGCAAATGAGGTGCCCTGTGTCTTCTGAGCAGGCACTCTTCCTTGGGGGCAGAATGAAAACGCGCAGAAAGCTTTCATAGCAAATTCTTCAATAAATGGAGGAAGTTCTCATAGCAGATCTGAATGCATTCCCCCATCCCCGTCTCAAAAGTGCCTTCCCACAAAATTTAGTTAACCAAAGCTGCAGTGCCAATGGATGGATATTTTAAATGGTTCTCTGGTGCTTTCAGATAGAAGTGGATTTTATTTTATTTTTAATCCCTGTACGCTTCATTCCAGGTAGCTTCTGAGGCAGTCTGTAATTAAAGCAGTCTCTGATGAAATTACTTGATTTTGAAGCTCTTAGTAAAAATTAGTTGCTGTAGATTTTCCAGGCTGTCTGGCTGTGGTCTTGGCATTATAGAACCTGATGTTTCGTCAGTAACTGTGACTGGCATCCTCAGAGGTATAACACAGAAAGATGGAGGACTCTCTGTGTCAATCTACAGCAACTAATGAACTCCGCCCGTGAAAGCCTTCGACAACATACCTTAGTAAAAACATTATCAATACATAAAAATCAGCAAAAACATAACAAGGTGGAAATTAAACTACATTTTTTAAAAAACTAATTATCCAAAGTTCTGGTGTTGGTGTCTACAGCTGCCCAAGGTGTAGGTACCAGCGGGTTTGTGGAGGGAGTTAGAACATAAGAGAAGCCATGTTGGATCAGGCCAATCGCCCATCCAGTCCAACACTCTGTGTCACAAAGTAACCAAAACCCAGGTGTCATCAGGAAGTCCACCAGTGGGGCCAGAACTCCAGAAGCCCTCCCACTGTTGCCCCCCAGGTGCCAAGAATGCAGAGCATCACTGACCCAGACAGAGTGTTCCATCGATACCTTGTGGCTAACAGCCACTGATGGACCTCTGCTTCATATGTTTCTCCAATCCCTTCTTGAAGTTGTCTGTGCCTGTAGCCGCCGCCACCTCCTGTGGCAGTGAATTCCACATGTTAATGACTCTTTGGGTGAAGAAGGACTTCCTTTTATCTGTTCTACCAGTGTTCCATGGTTGATGGTTACTATGGAGCAGTCCTGGTGTCTTATTCCTTTCAACCTTTTCTCTTGGTGATGGGGGGGGAACACACAGAGTAAGGCCTTTACAGAAGAACTGAACTGCCAAGCTTATTTGTAGGGAAGCAAGCTGGGAAAAAGATCAACAACCTCAGATATGCAGACGATACCACTCTAATGGCAGAAAGTGAAGAGGACCTTAAGAGCCTCTTGCTCAGGGTAAAAGAGGAGAGCGCAAAAGTGGGCTTGAAGCTCAACGTAAAAAAAAAACTCCTTGGCAAATAGAAGGGGAAGTCGTGGAAGTAGTGACAGACTTCACGTTCCTGGGATCCCAGATCACCGCAGACAGTGACAGCAGCCATGAAATTAAAAGACGCCTGCTGCTCCTTGGGAGGAAAGCGATGGCGAACCTAAACAGCATGATAAAAAGTAGAGACATCACCCTGCCAACAAAAGTCCGCATGGTCAAAGCAATGATATTCCCAGGGAAAAGGTCAGTATACATTCCAATCCCAAAGAAGGGCAATGCCAAGGAATGTTCAAACTATCGCACAATTGCACTCACATCACACGCTAGCAAGGTCATGCTCAAGATCCTACAAGCTAGGCTTCAACAGTATGTGGATAGAGAACTACCAGAAGTACAAGCTGGAAGGCCAGATAATGAACCTGAAGCTCAAATACTTTGGCCACCAAATGAGAAGGGAGCACTCCCTGGAGAAGACCCTGATGCTGGGAAAGATTGAAGGTCAAAGAAGACGGGGACGGCAAAGGATGAGATGGTTAGACAGTGTCATAGATGCAACGAACATGAAGTTGAGCCAACTTCAGAGGACGGCGGAAGACAGGCAGGCCTGGCGTGATCTGGTCCATGGGGTCGCAA